GTCTTTGTCTAACTTATGCAAATTAGTAACTCTGAACTCTTAGTTACTCTTGAAATCGCATATTTAATTAGTTTCCCTTGACAATGGCACCAAGATGTCACCGAAACGTTGGATTTGTCTATCGTGAGTTTTTCACCTCTGATATCCTTCATGAAATCGACAGAATGGTTATTGTTGGCTCTCTGAAGCTTGGACACCAAATTTTGGATGACCAGCATCTGCATAGGACTGCGTTCCGATATACCCATCCTAAGGAAATGAACAAGACTAATAACGAACCTCTGATCTTCCCCATTTAGGCATGCAGCATGTAAATTATCCTTCCAATCTTTCGGAGTCAACGTTGTTTTGACCAGCTGCTTCATTTTTTCTTCTGATTGTTTGTGCTTGGAGTCTCGATTTCCAATGTGTCAACAGCCTCACCCCTCTTGGCGTAGCATTTATTAAATCCAGATACCCTGTTGGTTTTGTCGGAAAAGCTGCCCGATTTTCAATGTTAGATAATATCTTTCAGCTTGTGCTGTTGTCAAAAACAGATTTTGCAGGTAAATAGATGTTCACCATAGGACAGTGCTTCCTCTTGACAAGGTGGCTCTAGACTTTTAATGCCTCCTCATATGTGCACAACCTTGCCGTGAATCACAACAGCTTTGGAAAATCCTATGAACATGGATCTTGCTTTGGACCAGGCCTCTTGCTTAAGATCCACCGCTTCCACAGCATGCTTTCCTTTCCACTCTTTGTAATTTCAACATTCAGCATGATCGGGATAATATTTGTGACATCTTTAGCCATTCATGAAAAAGTTTCTTCAAAGTCGTTCTGTGTATTTGTAAGACAGTGGCAGATTCTTCAATGACCTCAGAGTCCCAGAGGTAGTAACACCTCACCTTCTCTTTTTGAGAGCTTTGAAGCTGGGCCCCTGAGGTTGTTAGCAGTTTAAAGACTTTGATGGCTGCACCAAATAGTCATCCGAAGTCTTTCTCTTTTTGAAAACTTCCTTGTTGGTCAAGGGCCTTGTGATTGGTTCTTCGTCCATTTTCCAGAACTGACAAACTTCGAAGTGGCACTTGGATGCACTGTGTTCTTGTACTTGCACCAGACCCTAAAATTCCAGCTCTGCAGTGCCTCTTAAGATTGCTTCAGTGGTTGCTTTCCTTGATTACGTGACTGAATGTGGTTGATTATTTCAAATTTCCCACCATAAGTATGGGATACAGACCGCACATGTAAAATTTCCCTTAATCACATGAGAGAACTATGGAAAATTATCACCTTTAACCGATAGACCAGGAACCTCACCAGCAAGGCTTCCAGCCTTTGTAGGACAAAAGGTCCCCATTAGAAAAGCTCTAGTGCAATAATCTTTGTAGGTTGACACTTTAGCTGACAGGGAAGATGGGGTGACATTAAGTGATCCATGCATTTGTGGAACCTCTTGAAGAGACGGTCTTCTTCAGATTCCTTTTAGGATTCACTGCATCTTGCACTAGTTGGTAGACTTCCAGTTTCTTCCTTTGTGTCATCAACATTTTCATCCCCTGTTATTTCAATCTCCAATAGATCTGTTCCAACATAAGTAAGACAATCATGCATGTTGTCCCCATCTGAAATGTCTTCATCTTCAGAAAGAACTTGTCTTCTCTTGGAAGGATGTCTTAGTGGGTCTCATCTGATGAAACAGAACTATAAGCCTCATCCAATATCCCTGCAACTGCTATATCTTCAACTGCTGTTGAATCCTGTGGCAAGGCATAGTTTAAACTTCGACACTAACCATCTCACTGCTTGACTCAGCTGTCTCCAATGTACTTGGTTTTCAAAGGACCTTTGTCCCAGCTTTTGGTACATTGAACTTTTTCCGTCTTTTTTAGGGCTTTGACTTGTAAAAACAGAGGTTTCCCAAAGACAGGAGTGCGAAAAAAGTTGGCATTTTGTTGTCATTTGTCTGATACTCAGTCTGAAAGTTGGACCAAATGTCGCCCTTGGCAATTTTGTTTTTTCCTCTCCCTCGCAGTAGCATTTCTCCATCCACGTCTGAACCACCATCACATCCAGTGTTCTCAGCTCATTTTTTGCGGACCTTGCGTAAGGTAGTGTATTTGACTGGTACAAAGTGTTGATAGCCATAAAAGCGAGCCCCTTTTTACAAATGTGTCACGTTGTGATAACCTACATTTACAATTAAAAACTTTCAGTTCAGGTATTTACTAAGGTCTAAAATGTTCAAGCATGTTTGTTTGCTTCAAAGACTTGTGGCTTGATCGCATTGCGAAGTCCATCATTTGTCTTAGCTGCATTAACTGCACAGGGTCAACATCGTTCTGTGATTCCATCCACGACAAGCATTTTCTCTAAACATTGCGCTGCCTCTTTAGTTGATACAAGTTTCTCATCCTTGCCCTCATCTTCCTCATCGCTACATACACTTGCACTTTCTGTCGAGTCTCCGACAACGGTGGCTAAAATCTCTTCATCAGACATTTGCGGTGAAGTCAGGAGCTCGTTTTGCAGATTAAGCCAGTCTTCCACATCGCGAGCATTAGGCATTTCCTCATTGTCAAGTTGCTGTACATGTTCCAACATTTTGACCATGGACTCGCTGTTGTCCAAATGAATTCTCAGTTTATCGTAAGCCTTGCAAGTAGATTCCAGGCTTCTAAGTACCAAGCATCCAAAAGCATATGAAGCGCATCTTTCACAGTATGAAGCTTTACAATGTCCTTAATGCTTTGAGTTTGATCAATGTCTCAACGGCAAATTACTTTCCGAAGAAGTTTTCTCTTGTATCAACTCTTCATCGCTTGCAGGACTCCTTGATCCGTTGGCTGAATCAGGGAGGTCGTGTTCAGAGGAAGAAACAGGCAGGTTACAGAACCATCACGGCTGCTGAGCTCATCTGGATGAGCAGAACAATTGTCTATTAACACCAGAGCTTTTGGAGAATAGATGTTTTGTGAGCATTGGTGACTTTTTACAGCTGGCGCAAAGTCTTTCTTAAACCACTCAGCGAAGATCTCCGCATTCATCCAGGCATTTCTTTGGGACTTGTAGATCACGGGAAGTGCATCCATGTTAACATGCTTAAAGCATCTCGGCTTCGCAGATTTCCCAATAAGAACGGGTTTTAGTTTGTGAGTTCCAGTAGCATTTGTACAGCCCAGCACAGTTAAGCAATCCTTTGCTTTTTTGAATCCTGGAGCAGATTTTTCACGAAAGGAAACAAAATTTCTTTGTGGTAGATACTTCCACAAAAGTCCAGTCTCATCAGCATTGTAGATTTGTTCGCAGATCAGATTCTTTTCCTCGATCACTTTGTGCATTTTCTGTAGAAATTGTTCCATAGTTTCTTCTGCAGCTGAAAGTTTCTCGTCCTGAATGCTGAGATTCCTGATGCCATGCCGTGTTTTAAACTTTTCTAGTTAACCAGTTGATCCTTTGAATTCGCGATCGGCCGTCTCTGTGTTTAACTGCGTAGAGAAATGTTTCTCTTTCTGTTGAAGAAGCGGACCTGAAATCGGTGTCCCAGTAGATCTTTACGGAATAAACCAGATGTACAGGGCTTTATCCAACTGCTCATCATTGGCCAGCTTCAGGGACTTTTGTTTTAATCCTTCGCTTGTCTCGATGCTGTCAGTAAATTTTAGGATCTTGTCTTTGTTCTTCTGTATGTCAGAGATCTGCTGCTTGCTGATGCCAAATT